ATTATTGAAAAGTAAATTTTTCACATTAAACCCTTTTTCCTGGGGGAAAAAGGGGAAAAAAAAATTAAACCATTGGGACCAAACCAGTTTTTTGGTTGAAAAAATACACATTATTTTTTCGGGTTTTAGTTGAAGATACCCAAACAAGAAAAATGAAAAAATAGGATTTGTTGTTTTTTGTTTGATGGGTTTTACGTCCCCTTTAAACAAAGTTTTTTGCACTTCCAGTTTTAAACGAGGAAAATTTTACTGAGGGAGAACCTCAGTGCCTTCTTCATTATTTCAGCACAAAAGGGACCTGAGTAAAACCATGACTTCCGTAAGCGGGGAATTTTTCCCAAATGAAAAACCCAAATCACGTCGGGTTTTCAACCCCAGCGTGGGGGAAGTTTTTTGTTTAGATTAATACAGGGAAAAGGGAATAAATTTATAAAAAATTTCATTTCAAATAAAACACTTCTTCAACAGTATGGGGCAAAAACGACTGTTAAAAGGCTATATTTTCCCGTTCCAAACAGGGTTTTAATTTCCCCACTTTTACCTTAGGTTCAAGGGAATTACCACATTTTTACCGACGTATCTTGGTCAAATTCTCCTTTACAAAATCAAAAAATTTTTCAATTTGACACAGTAAAAATACAATTAATTTTTTGCATTGGTAGAACATCGTGTAATCAAAGCATGACAATACATAAATTACTGAAAAATAAAAGTGCAACTGAAATTTTGGGAAAAATTTGCACTTGAAAAAAAGCTAAATTTCCTGATTTTTAGCATAAATATCAAACCCCCCTTTTTTTTTTAAAACCCTTCATGATTTGCAAATTTTTTCCTCATGAAAAATTCCGAAATTTAAAAATTTGCGAACTTTCAAACACAAACAGACAAAAAAAGCTTTAATATGTTGGGTATTACCCATATTTTCCTTTGAATTTGGGGTTTTAGCTTTTAAAATTTGGGTTTTCAAACCGATACCCTATTTTTTCAAATAAATTTGGTATTCATTTTTATAAAGATATAATTTTAGGGTTCAATATCAAAAAAATTTAAATGTTTTAAAAAATAAATTTGCGGGGCCCCGACAAAAACCCCAAATGCATTTTTTGGGCCAGCATGGATCCAGACCACCTGGGGGTCCCCAAGCTGACAGGATCATGTGTTCGTATTTTTTTCCTACTTTAAAAGGGTGGTAAAGTTTTTGGAGCCCCCGAAGCCGAATACGGATTAGTTTGCATTTATTTGGGGAAAATTGGATAGCAGATATCATATAAAATTTTCCAAAAATACGAGCGTAGACAAATTTAATTTTTCGGAATGAAAATGACAATATGCACTGGTTTTTAAGACGATTGCGTATTTCATTTTTTTTAATTGGGTTTTGATACGCATTCTTAAAAAATCAATTACGTATTTTATAAAATTAATTGCGTAAATACGCAAATATGCACCTTATCTGTTGCTCTGCACAAAAATATACAAAATGTACATAATGTGTAAAAGTGCATGGGAATAAAATCAATCATGTATACAACTCACAAGGTATTACAAATCATAAAAGTAATAAATAAAGGATACTTGATTAATAGTTTCTCAAGTGACGTAGCCAAGAGCAAAAATTTAGAAAGAAATTTTAAAGAGTTTATAAAATATGTGAAATGAATTCCTTTTAATTTCAGTGATTATTACTGCAAATGTCATGCACACACCTTTGTGACAGCATTAGATCATGGCATCACACAGCTTCATGTTAAACTAGAAATGTGTCCATAGGACACGGATGCCCCCACACGCCACTGTTCTGTCAATCTTATGACTCTAGGTCAAATATTTTTTGGACTACATGTGCCCCAAGTTGAAAACTAAAAATCAACAAAGGGCCATAATTCTGTTAAATTTGGTCGCAGCAAACAATCCTTCCTTTACTACCATCTACACCTTAAGGTTGTTAATCCCTGGAAGTTTAAGCAAAATCTGCCATCCGGTTTAAGAGGAGTTGCATTCACAAAATTTCAACATAGTATATAATGAAAAAATCAAAAAAAGGGCCATAATTCTGTTAAATTTGGTTGCAGCAAAAATTCCTTTCTTTATTACATCTACACATTAAGGTTGTTCATTCCTGGAAGTTTAAGCAAAATCTGCTATCCGGTTTAAGAGGAGTTGCATTCACAAAATTTCTTCATAGTATATAGTGAAAAATCAACAAAGGGCCATAATTCTGTAAAATTTTGGTCGCAGCGAAAATTCCTTCCTTTACTACCATCTACACCTGAAGGTTGTTCATCCCTGTAAGTTTAAGCAAAATCTGCCATCCGGTTTAAGAGGAGTTGCGTTCACAAAATTTCTACATAGTATTTAGTGAAAAAATCAACAAAGGGCCATAATTCTGTTAAATTGGTCGCAGCAAAAAATCCTTCCTTTACTACCATCTACACATTAAGGTTGTTCATTCCTGTAAGTTTAAGCAAATTCTGCCATCCAGTTTAAGAGGAGTTGCGTTCACAAAATTTCTACATAGTATCTAGTGAAAAAATGAACAAAGGGCCATAATTCTGTTAAATTTGGTCGCAGCAAAAATTCCTTCCTTTACTACCATCTACACATTAAGGTTGTTCATCCCTGTAAGTTTAAGCAAAATCTGCCATCCGGTTTAAGAGGAGTTGCGTTCACAAGATTTCGGGAAGTACGGACGGACGGACTGACGGACGGACTGACGTATTGACGGACTGACGGACGGACGGACAAGTGCAACGCTATATGCTCCCACATTGTGGGGGCATAAAAATCATAATTACATTAAAGTTCTTGAATTTGTTATATTTTCATATAAAGTCTGCAAATGTTTTACCTTTAATAATCTTACCTGACAATGTTTCTATGTTTAAGTTCCTTTAACAAACAAATCTCTCGTAATGCCGAGCTTGGCACTCCCTGAAATTCAAAAAAAAAATTGTCTCAGGAAATAATTTCATGACATTTTCAAAAATATCAGGGTGTATATAGGTTTAAATTTCTCTTTTACAATGTCATTTAACACAGAATCATTTCAGCAATATTTCAACAAGTACAGTCAAACGTGTATTAAGCGACCGGGCAAGGGAAACACCCAAAACGGTAGCTGTATGAAACGGTCTCTTAAGACAGTACAACAATCATGTAAGATTATTATCATTACCTCATCATCATCATCAAGACGCACTCTCTTTAATGCTACAATCTCTTGAGATTCTCTATTCTTTGCTTTAAACACTGTTCCATATGTCCCTAAAAATACAAAATAATCACAATGCTAGTTAGTTCATATTTGAGCCGCGTCACGACAAAACCAACATAGTGCGTTTGCGACAAGCATGGATCCATGCATCCGTGCAGTCTGATCAGGATCCATGCTGTTCGCTTACCAACTCTATTACAAGTAGAGAAACTGATAGCGAACAGCCAAATCCTGGTCAGACTGTGGGGATGAGCAGGCTGGTCTGGATCCATGCTGGTCGCAAACGCACTATGTTGGTTTTGTCGTGACGCGGCTCATTTGTTTTTCATTACCACTAAAGTTTGTACCTTGCCAGTGCTGGTTCAAATCCAGTCAGGGACAGTGGATTCTTGTGGTAAGGAAAAGTCAGCCAGCTTTCAAGGTTGGTGGTTCTATAAATGTGCCTAGTCATCCGCATTAAAATAATGCAGGAAGTGGCACCTGTGGTCTCCCTCTACCAGAAGAGTTGAAAAGAACCCCATATGACCTTAACAGTGATGACGTGATCCCCATTTTAAACCCAACATGACAAACAAAACTATAAAGTTTATGTCACAACAACATTGTTATGATCACACCAGTATAGGATTACACAATTTAAACAACAACTTAACCAATATGAGCTAGAAACAACTAGAAATGTGTCCATAGGACACTGATGCCCCCACATGCCACTGTTCTGTCAATCTTATGACTCTAGGTCAAATATTTTTTTTGACTACATGTGCCACAAGTTGAAAACTAAAAATCAACAAAGGACCATAATTCTGTTAAATTTGGTCGCAGCAAAAATTTCTTCCTTTACTTCCATCTACACATGAAGGTTGTTCATCCCTGGAAGTTTAAGCAAAATCTGCCATCCGGTTTAAGAGGAGTTGCGTTCACAAAATTTCTGCATAGTGTATAGTGAAAAAATCAACAAAGGGCCATAATTCTGTTAAATTTGGTCGCAGCAAAAATTCCTTCCTTTACCACCATCTACACATTAAGGTTGTTCATCCCTGGAAGTTTAAGCAAAATCTGCCATCCGGTTTAAGAGGAGTTGCGTTCACAAAATTTCTGCATAGTATATAGTGAAAAAATCAACAAAGGGCCATAATTCTGTTAAATTTGGTCGCAGCAAAAATTCCTTCCTTAACTACCATCTACACATAAAGGTTGTTCATCCCTGGAAGTTTAAGCAAAATCTGCCATCCGGTTTAAGAGGAGTTGCGTTCACAAAATTTCTACATAGTATATAGTGAAAAAATCAACAAAGGGCCATAATTCTGTTAAATTTGGTCGCAGCAAAAATTCCTTCCTTTACTACCATCTACACATTAAGGTTTATCATCCCTGGAAGTTTAAGCAAAATCTGCCATCCGGTTTAAGAGGAGTTGCGTTCACAAAATTTCTACATAGTATATAGTGAAAAAATCAACAAAGGGCCATAATTCTGTTAAATTTGGTCGCAGCAAAAATTCCTTCCTTTACTACCATTTACACATTAAGGTTGTTCATCCCTGTAAGTTTAAGCAAAATCTGCCATCCGGTTTAAGAGGAGATGCGTTCACAAGATTTCGGGACGTACAGACGGACGGACGGACGGACACTCGGACGGACAAGTGCAACGCTATATGCTCCCACTCTGTGGGGGCATAAAAATAATAATATTCATTCAAATTCTTCTTCAAAATTTCCTTTTTTCTGCTCTAACAGGTATTCAAATTTTTCTTTCATCTAATAAAAAGAGACAAATTAAATAGGCATTAGGTGAAATTGCTCAAAATTTAAATTGATGAGTTGGTCAAATTCTAAGGGGTTCTTTGGGCAGTGGCCTACATTGCTGGCCTACTTGAAGCTATGCTGTCAAGAAAGCTAATAAGTTTTTTGTATATCAGCCATGACACAATCGACTTACTCCAGAATAGATGTTATTCGAAATTAGGCTAATCCCCCAATATATATGAACAAACATTTACTGTTAAAGCTTCAATTAGCACTATCATTTGGAATAGAACAGTCAATCAGGGAATAAGCATGGATAAGAAAAAAACCCACATTTGCCAAAATCAATTAATATAATTGGAACATATTTGAATTGCTCCTCATTATCATATCCTGAGTCTTGTTAACATAATATACTAAATAACACTTTATAATTAATGGTAAACCATTCATTCATTAAAACAATTAAAATCTACCATATAACAAGACTGTATAAAACTAAAATTATATTAATTGTGATGCTAAATATGCCTCCAAGATAGATTCCAAATTTATTGTTGTAAATAGAACAAATGATGTTTTTTTTCTGTCAAATGTGAAACAAAAAAATATATAAGTACAATCCAATAATTTTTGAAGTAATAGCCCAGTGGTTTTTCTGAGTTAATTTCCTTAGCCTCTGGAATTTGGGAAGAATTGCTAATTGTGAAGTAAAAAAGCTGGTGTATGTTTAGATTTTAGGGAAAATTGCATGATTTTAACCCATTACGTTATATACATGCCTTTTAACGCCTTTTTTCACCCCCCCCCTTTTTGTTGTCTCAAATGGTGAAAAATGCCTTATTTAGGCCCCCAACACTTGTTTTTGTTTGAAAAATGTTGTTAAAAAATGACCTCTTTTTCGGCGCGGCCGCCCAACCAAAAGATACATCAGGGGGTTGCCAGAAGGGGGATGTGCCCCCTTCTGTTTGGGGGGTTTGAAGGGGGCAGAGCCAAGAAAATTTTGGACTTGTGAGAGGCTATAAATGACCCCAGATTGATCATAAGGTAACGTGTAACCAACGCTGAAAAGCATTTGACTCTATCTCAATCCATTGAGAAGTTACAGCACTTTGAAATCAATTTTGATGGAAAAAATCAACACAAAATAGTGATTTTTGGCAATTTTGAGATGTCCCCTCGTTGCCATGGTAACAGAAAATTTAAGCCTGAGCATGTTGTTGCAAGGGCAATTGTCCAGTCAACATTTGTGCCAAGTTTGATTAGTGTTGAAGCAGTTTTTATAGTATTATAGCAATTTGAACTTGTAACGGGAGACTTTTCAATGAAAAAAGCCATTTTTCACAAAATGCTCATGAAGTAATGGCTTAAAGAGAATTTCAATTGGGAAGAGGCCTTTTATAGGCCTCTGTTATATTTGATGAAAAATAACTGATACAATGTACATTATTTGCATATACACGGGTATAAGTTTATCTGAAGAGAAAATCAAACTTGACCTGTGTTTTGACGTATAAACATTATCACTGAAAGCCTCCAAAAGTCATTCTATGGAAACCAATAATTTTGTGATAAATTTGCTTTAAAAGGAGCATAACTCTGTCAATAATAAGTTGATAGAAGTTATGCCAAGTATAAACACAATAATTAAATTCCTTGCAGCAATGAATGCATGGACTAACAATGCCCTAACACCAAACATCACATCATTCTATAGATATGTAATAACAAATTTGATCATTCTTTTTTATTGTACCTTATTTAAAGCTAAAATTTTTTCGCAATGATTAAATGAAAGTAATGAATTTCATATGCATTTAGCTAATAGAAAATATCAAAATATTCATTCACATTGTGTAAAAATATCAAAATTTATCCATATTAAGTTTACTAAGATATCAAAATTCAATGAAAATAAAATTCCATCCTCATTTAAACTGAAAGTATCCAAGTTAAAAAAAATCAAATTACTAAGTGTAATAGTTAACTGAAGATATCAAAATCAATTCACAATAAGTTAAATAGCTATTTAAAATATTTCAAATCATTCAAATTTAGCTAATAGAAAAAAATAAAATCACATTCACAGTTAGTTAACTGAAAATCCATTATTTTCTTAATAATACAAGATTAACTTAATAGTAAAATTCATTCACATTTACCTTTAGTGAAATAAATATTCCCTAAAATCAAAGATCCTTCTTATTAACTTAACTGTACCATTTATTTATTGAGCAAATAGATTGAATAGTCATTGCTGCTTCAATAGTTATTAAGTAACTCTAAATCTTGCCCCGGGCACATCTTTACACATGTATACACTTTTTCATTGTCAAATAGAGTGAAAGAAATTCAAAAAATGATAGCTATGGACATGTATTTCTTTTCAAAGAATTGGTTTAACTGTCTGTTATCGTGTGGTAATTTATAGTAAGAACTAACACCTAATTTCAGTTCTAAAATAAAAATGAAGGCCAAGGATCCTGTTTGGAATCATTATGATTTGATAGAGGGTGATGATTCTATACAGAAAGCTAAATGTAAAGATTGTGGGAGTATCGTTAGTGCTAAGAGTGCGCGGCTGCGGATACATAGAGCTAAATGTTGCGGACAGACTCCTCAGTCTGAAGGTGCGTTTGACAGTGTTGGTTCACCTCAACATGAACCACCTCCATTACCCCCACCAATGATGAACAGATCTTATTATGACATGATGAGTCCAGCTGCTAGTTTTCCGGTAAGTTCAGTTTATTAGCATAACTTTTTAACAATACTCATGGCAACAATCTTTACTGTAAAAACAATTTATATTAGCTTTTGGTAAAGAAAAATAAATGTAAATATGCACAAAAAACAACATATGATGCAAACAAATTTTGGTGTAAAACTGAAAAAAAAAACTAGAAATGTGTCATCATGCCACGGATGCCCCCGCATGCAGCCAAAATTTCAGATGGTGCATTAATTATTTTTTTCATTTTAAGTTCAAAGCCCTTAAAACTTTTCAATGTTAACACAAACCATTTTCATACAATGTTCAAGGCACTGAAATTATTCAGTCTTAACCTTTTAAAAATAGCATATTGCTTATTTGTAGCCAAAATAATGGCTAAAAGTATGAGTGCTGAAACTGAAAGTTCAAAATTTTTCCAACATTCAGGAAAGATAAGTTTGTCCAAAATCATTGAACCACGACCAAATTCAAACTTAAACTGCTTATTCCTAAGATGTATCTATATTATTTTCAAAGTGAAAGGGACATAACTCTGCCAAAAAAATCATCAAACCAAGACCAAATTCCAAC